AAGCCTGCCTCCTTTGGTGGGGATCGAGTCACTAATTTTAATTTTTGTTTTATTTTTCTTTCTTTTAAATAAATATTTCTTCTTCTTCTTTTCTTCTATTGCTCTTGTTTTTCTCTTTCAATAATATTCCAAACTCCGATACAACTTCATGCATACAGTATACACTATTATGAGGGACATCAAGCATGTCGTGACCAGCATTACAGTTTTTTTTTTTTTTTTTTTTTTGATTTAAGACCAGCATTACAGTTATAACTACTAAACGACAACGTTTTTTTTAGTTAGCTAGGATATTTTCTACAAGACCCTTGTGTTTACTTTAACTGTTTAAAAAACCATTCATGTTACAAATATTCGCAAAAAACCCCTATGATGTTTAGGAAAATTGAAAGAATTTATGGTCCCGAATTCGTATTATACAGAGATGTTATCTAAAATGTTATGACACTTGAGACAACATGCAGCGGAAATATAAAGATTAAAAAACAAACACTCAGAAGTAAAAATGTCCATAAGTAAAGACTTGTGAACTTGCCCTTTACAGGACGGAAAAATATATTAAAAACAGTATTCTAAGAATACAAACAGAAGAGGTGCGAAAACTTCTTCCTTATGAATGAATCTTTTTCAAGACCATTCTTACAATCAAATCTAGATACTAAAAGAAAAATATTAAAAATTCTAGATTTCAAAGAATGTACTCATAAGGAGTACGTACAACAGATCCTAGAAAACACACTAAAATTCTCGAGATTAAAACTTCAGCTCTATTTTGTTTCCTCGAAATCTGTATGAATCTTGAGTCTTGAGTTTGGTATTTATAGACTTGCCAAGCTTCCACTCCTCAGCCCATGATCTGCAAGAAAACCAACCACAAAAGCACTCAAGATAATGGGTTAGTGGGTTAGTTAGAAAGTTAGAATAAAACCCACAATTAAACCCACTAATCACTACTTAGCCCACTAAGTCATAACACTTAGGCCACTAAGTAATAACTAAAATTTAGTTTGAAAGTAAGAGAGTTAAAAACACTTTTGTAAAATGTAACAACGTGTTTCAAACTCCCCCTTTTTAACTTTCTGATCAAAACTAAATTTTAGCTAGAACTCCCCCTGAGATATTGCTTGAACTCCCCCTGAATTTGAAAATACCAAAAATAATATAGAAAGATCAATTCAAAACAAATTCAGCAAGATAGTCCAAAAAACTTAAACAAGAAATAACCAAAGTGCAGTCCTAATTAAAGGTTCAGGGAAAATATAATAATAAAAAAAAAAAGAACAAAATCAACATATTGTTCATGAGAACATTTAAAGTAGAATCTCCAAAGTCTCCAAAGTCTCCTCAGTATCAGCTGCTGCTCCTCCATCACTAGATCCACTGCTTTCTTCTGCTTCATCCTCTTTCTGTGCTTCCTCTTCATTAAACCCTTGCTCTCTGCCTCTAGCATCCAAAGGGTGAGATGTTCCTGCTTCAGCTTCATGACCTTTTTCTCCCCCTTTTTGATCAGAAAGAGCCTTCTGAATCATCTCCACCATGGACTGATGGTAGGTAAGCTGAGCTAGAGAGCGAGTAAGCTGTTGCAACAGAAGATCTCTAGGAACAGACACAAGAAGGTTAGAAGTGTTGTCAACATGAGGAGCAACACCTTCAGCACCAGGATTATTTTGACATGATTCACTTGAGAGAAAATTATCTCCATTCCAGGGAAGATCTTGGACATGAGGAGCTCTTAGAAAATTTTGAGAAACAGTGATCATGCCTTGTGGAGTGTGAAGATATTCTGAGTCATCTTGGCCCAAGTTTTGAGAGAGTAAGATGGAATAGATGAGAGAAGGATAGGGAAGGTGAGTGGAGGGTGAAATTTTCTGGGCAAGATGACCAATAGTATCAAAAAACAGTTTGCCAAAATCCACTGGTATTCCCATCCCCAATTTGTACATGAGTACAGCATGAGGTTTAGTTACCACAGAGACATTTTTGGATGGAATCCAATTAACCACTGTGAGTCTAAATAAGACAGAGTAAAAAGCAGTGAGTTGAGACACTTGGAATTTTCTTGGGTGTGCAGGCCAACTTTTTAAACGGTTTCCAGAAATAACTTTGCAAATCTCAGTAAAATCACCATAATTATCCTCATCAATCACAGTAGGAGTTTGTAAATGAGAGTTGATAATTTTGGGAGAAAAAGAAAAGATGGAATTGCGCACAAAAACTTTGCCAAAGTTTGGAGAATTTTTCTTTAAAAAAGAAGTTTGCAAATTGGCATAAAATTCCTTCACAACCATGGGATCATAAGAGCAGGCAGTCTCAACTAGGTTAAGGATTTTTCTTTGGTGAAGAAAAGCAGTTATCCTATGCCTATCAAATTCTTCCTTAGAAATTTTCTTTTCTTCAATGAATTGACAATTCATGACTTGAGGACTCAACAGTGAATCAGATTCAAAATAAAAATTTGGACTGAAGGCATTGGTTACCTCAAAAGGGGTTGACAAATTCTTCCCATCCAAGTCTGGTTCTTCGTCTTCTGAGGATTCATCATCTTCTGAATCTTCATGCTCATCAGGGACGTATGCTGGTTCAGGTGATGCAGCAGGTGGGGCAGCACCTTCTTCCTGCTGAGAAGAGTCTTCAGAGGATTCACTGTCAGAATCAGAGGAGGGCAAATTTTTGCGAAAAGCAGCTAGAGGAACCTCCCAACTATCATCACTTTTCTCTGGTTCTTCAGCTTGAGGGGGAGATGTATCTGCTTGAACTGCTGCTTCTGCCAGGGTTTCCAGAGGATCTCCATGAGGTGCTGATGGAGTTTCTTCAGTAGTAGTGAAGTCTTGAGCATCCACAGATGGAATGGGAACATGCTCTGCAGATGACATTCCAGAAAAATCAGGCATCTCTTCATCCTGATAAGGGGCAGCATCCTCAGCAGCATTCTGAGGAACATTTGCTGAGACAGTAGGTGCAGTAGCATCTTCTGGAGCATGTGCAGTAACATCTTCAGAGACAGGCTGTTGAGAGGCTGCTGCTGCCATGCTAGACTGAGATGACTCCCCCTGAGTTGACACTGGGGGAGGTGAAACCTTTGATGATGACTCAGAGGAGCTGGAGGATGGAGGTTGAGCCTCTGGTGCTGCAAAGTTAGGGTCTCCTTCTTCATCATCAGTTTCTTCATCCACCAAATGAAGACCTCTTGGTGGATTTGGCCTAACAGAAGTACGGCCACCTCTGCCTCCTCTTCTTCCACCTCTGCTTCTTCTCCGGGGAGAGTTTTCTCCTCTCCGGCGTTGTGGCACCGCAGTATTCAGATCTGGGAAAGGGTTCGTGCGCTTGGACCGGCGCGTTGGAAACCTTCCGGCGGTGGAAGAGGGACCCACAAAATCAAAATTGTCTGGGTCAATCGGGTTCAGATCATCTTCGGGCTCAATGTAGCTGATTGGTACAGCTTCAAAGTTGATTGGATGAACGATGATGGCCAGATTTGGGTCTGCTGGTACAGGTGCTGCAGCATCGTTGTGGACATCACCATCGGCGGCTGGAGGAGGATTTCTAGGTGGGGATGCCATGATACAGTAGATAAAGGAAAATAGCTTCTTTGTGCTTTTGATTTTTTGAGTGTGAATTTTTGAGAGAATAAGCACGAAATTTATAAGCCCTAATTTTGCTGAAGAAAGAACGAAAAATTGAAGTGGAGAAGGTGAAGAAGTGGTGTGCGTTTTTCTTGGGGAGAGTGTGATTAAGGAGAATAATATTTTCTTGGCAGTTTAAAGAAGAACCGTGACACATGGCACAATAAGGAGTGGACTTAGTGGAAAATAAGGAATTAACCCATGTACCCATGACCCATATAAATAGGGATAATAAAAAAAATAAAAAATAAAAACCGTAGCACTCATGAAATATTCACATAAATGAAAACAATCTATTTATTAATGATTAATAGTGAGAAAAAAAAATTTGCTGACAGGCATGATATTATATATGTATATATATATATATATATATATATATATATATATATATATATATATATATATATATATATATATATATATATCTTATTTTCAAGTCAAACAATTCACATGGAACATGATCAAGTGTTCAGTTTGAAGGTTCCTCAGTTACTAAGATATGACTATCAAAATAGAGGAGTTTGACTTGTGTGAGTGTAATTATTGTCTAAATGTTTACATGAAGCATGATCACGTTTCAAGGTGAAAGACTTCCAGTTACTAATTTAGAAAATAATACATCACAGTGAAGTCATTATTTACTGAAGCTAATGCTTCAATAAATTATGTTGCACCTTAAGATATTTGATGAGGTGCTGCAACA